GAGTCGGCTGCAAAGTCCTCGGGGACCTTCATCCTCCTGATATTGGATGCTCCTGAATTTCCAGGGCTGAACTTCTGAAAGGGTGGATTTCTCCTCCGGGATCTTCTGCCCAGTTCTTGCCCGGATCTCCCCACAGCTCCCAGGCTGAACACCAGAAGGGCCTTTTCCAATTTCCTCGCTTGTTAAAGATTGGCTTTTCATTCTTTCTCTGTCCTGTAGTGCAACTCCAAATGGATCCAGGGAATCTTGTGGATTCCCAAACACCTTTCTATTCATAATACCATTCCTGTAGCTGTCTCTATCCAATTTTTTGCCTCCAGCAGAGGGAGATACAAATGGTTTCCAATTTCTGTATCTGAGATTAATTAGAAAGTGGTGGATTTAATCCCCAATTAAAACATATCATTCTAACGGAAAGGTAAGTTTTATTGAACTCCATTACAGTGACATTGAGAGATTAATCCCTGTGCATGAAAGTGTGTTTGGTACAAACATTGAGATTAGTCTCCATCATGGACTCAGAACACTGAATAAATGTATTTTGGATTTTGGATCATTTTCGGTTGCTTTTTTCTCAGAAACCTAAATCTACATTTACCTGCAAGGGGTTTACACAAACTTCAACAGATGAACAAAACGTAAATGCTCACTTAAAGAAATGCCCATTGGTGACCTGGTTTGGATGTTCCCTTTCTTCAGGGTTTCCTTTTTAAGAGTCAAATCACACAATTCCATACAGGCAGATTCCCAAAACATACCCCAAACACAAAGAGGCTAAGCAACTGTTCACATGTGACACCGGGGTTGGTGAGGTCCTGGTTCACTCACGCTCCTAAGAGAAACTGAACTACTGGGGATCGAACCCTATTTTAGCGTCCTCCAGCACAGGAGGAGAAGGCGGGCACAATCTCCTGCAATTCCTCCCTTGCAACCATGTTCTTCTTTCCTGCTCCAGATTTGCCCTCCAAGCTCTCCCCATCTCCCACCTCGGAGCTTTCTCCAGGCTATGAGGGGGTTGAAGGATTCTCCCAGGACCCTTCCTCCTCTCTGGGGATTTGTTCCCGGGGCAACCCGGCTCGCCCTGAGCACCGCTTCCCTCTGCCTGCCACTTGCATGGAGAGAGGTGGCAGGGGAGCATGGGATCCGAGCTCTCCCAACCCCAGGACTCCGGAGATTGAACCTGCATGGGGACTTGGCTTCTCTCTCTTCCTTCTCTAGCACGAGCACCCTCTGCCCCCTCCCCTTTGCACGCGGAGACACACACCGCCACTTACCCTACCCACCTCTAGTTCTCCTCCCTTCAAGACTTTCCGGCACCCATTTAAACCTCCTGCGGAACTCAAAGGGTTAAATAGAGAAGGGGAGCAATGCGTCAGATCCAGTGAGGTCACTTCCCTCCCATTCTCCTATGGTAAATCACTTCTGACGTTCGCCCTCCAGTGGTCGAATGGTGAATCGCACATGTTCTGTTCTCTACAGAGGGACTCACCTGGCAAATTCTTGTGTGCACGGAAGGTGCTTATGCAACCGGTGGAAACTGTGCATTTGCTGTGCTGTCCATATAGTTATAGTTAATTGGGAAGTGGGATAGTTACTTAGGAATTGGGAGCTGTCCCCTTAAGGGAATGCCTCATGATAAATGTAGTTAATGCATCCTGGGACATGTAGTCCATGTCATGTGGTCACATCTGTAATTCTGATTGGTCACTGAATTGACCCTTGGTTGGGTTGGGGGAGGTCCTTCACTCTTGCCTGGACCCCAGCATCGTGCTGGTGTCTCACCCCCTTGCTCCTTCATTATGGGATGAAAGATCACCATTCTTTTACACTATGAATACAAAGATTTGGACATTGAGATGAATCTCAGTGTAACCATGAGTTATATATAAGGATGCCTGATGAACCAATAAAGCA